GCTCCCTTGTGGCCGTAACTCGAGGACTACGTGTATTAAATTGATATGCCACCTCCCCTCCCTGCCTGAAGCTAAATTGACTAATTAATTCATTAATAAGTTAGTCACTTAACCATGTGGACTAACCTCCCAACAGCAGTGATTCACTTAGCAACCACGCCGAGAAAGGTTCTAAAGAGGAGCGGAAACTCACTTAGCAACGGTCTCACTTAACCAAGGGGGTTTTGGGCTCGGCTGTGGTCGTAAGTGCAGGACTGCCAGGCCAGCATGGGAAATGTGTGCACTGCAATTAAAGAAGCCAGGGAAGCCATGAAATTTATACTTGGCTAGTCCTCAACTTGTAACTGTTCGTTTAGCGGCCGTTCCAAATTACTACGGCACTGGGGAAAAAAGGGGACTTATGATTGTTTTCCACACTTACGACCATTGAAGTCATGTGATCAAAATTCAGATTCCGGGCAGCCGACTCGTATTTATGACGGTTGCAGCATCCAAGTGATCCCCTTTTGACAGCTTCCCAGCAAGTAAAGTCAATGGTGTGTGTGTGTGTGTGTGTGTGTGTGGTCGGATTCGCTTAACGACCGGGTGAATCACTTAGCGACTGCCTCATTTTTTCCCATGGATGCAAGTTCCTCCTCCCCCCAGTGCTAAAAAAAAAAAACAAGGAAGGGAGAAGATTTTTTTTTAAAAAAAATCCACACAGGAGACTTAACACAAATTGAAAGTGTGTCAAGAAATTTATTTGTTTGCTGACAGTTTCCAGAATAATAATAAAAATCATCATCATCGTTATCATCCTCTGTGGTTCTTTGGCTGGCGTTAAAGAGAAGATTTTTGAAACAGTGCACTTTTGTTTTTTTTCCTTAACTGTGGAAAACTTTGCAAAAATATCACAGGCTATAAATTCAGAGGCAATTAAAAAGCATCGTAAATTCATAATCATTCCAAGAGCGACAAAAAATATATATATACGGGTGTGTCGAATTTTGCATAGAATAAAACGTATAGAAATGGCAGAACCTTTTTTTTTTTTTGCAAAGGCACTTTTGTGTTTCCTTCAAAGTATATAATAAGGCACCATATATACCTATTGACTATATATAAAATTATACATATATATCTATACGTGCTGGTGATCCAGGGCTTTGTGGGGCAAGGAAAATACACAGGCAAGAAGGCAAGAGATGCAAAATAAAATAAAATAATAAATGTTTTATCATTTTAGCTTTCTATATTCATGAGCTTTGCTGGAATGGCTCCTGGTTTTAAAGAGGGCGGTTATTTTTGGATTTTTATTTGATTATTTGATTTTCATTTAACTTCGCATTCAAACTAAGGGGGGGTACGTCCCTCTGATTGGGAGGAGATCCTACCTCCTTACTCATATCACATCCTCCGCCTCCTCCTAAAAGCCATTCTTCACCCCCTCCCCGCTTACTCTCACAGATAACCAGAGTTGGAAGGGACCTTGTAGGTCATCTAGTCCATCCCCACTTACTCTCAAACGGAGCCTATATAGCTTCCTTTCCAAATTGTCTCCCGACCCACAGAAACTGAGAAAACGGGACAACCATTTTTTTCTGGGGGATTCTGGGAGTTGGAAGTCTCCAAGGTGGAGGGTCTCTGGTCTCAAAAAACAAAAAACAGGGGGAATCTCCAACCAGGGCAATTTTTAAGACTTGTTGGACTTCAGTTCTGGGAGTTGAAGTCCACAAGGCTTCAAAGGAGGCCTCCCTGGTGTAGGAGACCAGGGGCAACCTGGTTGGAGAAGGCCGGCCATTTGTGTAGTAATGTATCACCTCAACCCTTAGAACTGCCCAGGCGAGATATGGATGGACTTCAGTTCCCAGAATTCCTCGGCCGGCCATGGGAACTCCCACCCACCCTTTCAAGTTGCCAATTTTTCAAAATACGAATCGAGTTTGTTTTGCCGCTGTACAAAAAATGCTTCAGAGTGAAGCTTTCCCACGGGATCCGCTTTCTTGATCTCTCGTCGTGATCCCTTCTCATCTCGTTCCTCGGTTTATTTTATTTTTCCTATCAATCTTGTTTCCTGTCCCTGAGTGGCCAGGCTGAGCATCCCTTCTTCCCCTCTTTCTTTTCCTTCTTCTTCTTTCCCTCTTTCCCAAACATGTCCTCCGCCAAGGGTGGGTGAGGGATTCAAACGAATCTCTGCTTAAATCAGGAATCTCCAAACTCGGCCATTTTAAGACTTGTGGACTTCAACTCCCAGAATTCAGCCAGCCAGCCAGACCTATTCCTTTCCCTCCCACCTCTTGGAGCTGAGGGATTGCAGAGGAAGGGATTACAGGAGAGTAAGCCGATCCCAACGGGGATATACATCGAAAAGAGAAGCGCATTGTGTGTTTTCTCCGAAACTGCTTCCAATAAGAGGAAAACAGCGAGATCGCGCAAGTGAGTCCATCTGTAAAACCAGGACGCTGATTCAGGCAATTAAATCTTGCGTCTTTCTACATTTATTTTGAGCCTGGGGGGTGTGAGTGAATAAAAATGCTTTCAGCCCCCCCCAATTCTTATCCGTTTTCTTTGGTTTCTTTCCTTTTTAAGGCATAAAAATGTCAAAAACAGCAGAGACGATAGTAGATAGCAAGAGAATTTGGATGGACAGGTACTCCTCGAGTTACAGCCCTTTGTTTAGTGACTGCTTGAAGTTACAATGGCGCCATAAGAAAGCGCCAGGACCATTTTTCACACTTACGACCGTCGCAGCATTCCCCCGGGGAGGGGGGGTCACGTGATCAAAATTCGGATGCTTGCCAACCGACTCGTAATTACGACGGTTGCGGTTTCCCGGGGTCACGTGATTCCCCCCTTTTGGGACCTTCTGGCAAGCAAAGTCAACGGGGAAGCCAGATTCACTTAACGACTGTGTGAGTCACTTAAGAACAGCAGTGGTTCCTTTAGGCACTGGGGCAGAAAAAAAGTTCGTAAAACGAGGCACCCTTCCCTTAGCTTCCCCCGCCTCGCCCTAGCGACGGAAACGTTGGGGTCGTAAGCCGAGGGGTACCTGTAGAAATGTGCAAAACGAGCTGAAGGCTGGCCAAAGAGAAAAGGCAAAGCCTCAGGCAACGGTGGTTTAAAAGGCACAAGTCGGAAATAATACATATCCATATCCATTTATATATATGTATATGTATATGTATATGTATATGTATATGTATATGTATATGTGTATGTGTATGTGTATGTGTATGTGTGTGTATATATATATATATATATATATATATATATATATATAT